CAAGAGCTTTGCCTTGTGCAAGGTGACTTCTCCATAGACCTTCATCTGGACTATCCACTTTTCTCACCTTTGGATGCCGTAGTCCCCACAGTTGACACGGTCATGTTTGAGGATTTCGACCCATAGAAGCTTCAATTTCTTTTTTTCTTCTTTTTGAATTTAGCCATTGGTCCTAGTGTAGTATTCTTTTTTTGTTTATATCTTGACTCACCCTTTTTGTTAATCTGCAATGTGTGATGAGTAATGGCTGCCTTACTCCCTTTGCCATATATCCTCCGACATATGGCTATCCAAGTTCGACTTCGTTTCTATGTCATCTTGATAAACGATATGGCCTATTCTCTTTTGCATATCGTCTTCATAGATGATGTGGACTGTTCTATTCTCTTATCTATGTCTCTCCTTGAACCCCTCCTCCCTCCCCCCAAAAAATCCAAATGTGTGGTAATAGGGTGCCTCATGCACGATTGTGTTACTACGCCCTTAATATTTCAGCTATGTGGCATGTGAGTAGTTTTCTTAATTTGCGAAGCTTGGATGCTGTTCATATGGTCCTCTTGATAAATGATATTGTCTTCGACAAGAACTTCAGGATTGGGAGCAGGAGCGCGGAGTGATGTAGGCTAGAAGATCCGTGGTCGGGGAGACGAGGTCTATACATGGACAGGTAAAGGGATCGAGATCCTTGATTTTTAGTGAGCACGTTCCATATCTGCACAGGAGCGAATTCCTTACTTAATTGGATTGCATTCCGCCTTTATTAGGATCGAGCAATTTCAAGAAAACGAAAACGGGTGCCCAAGTGGTTGGGGTGCCGTTGGGCAGTGCAGAAAAAAAAAAGGGTGTGTGTGTGTGTGTGTGTGGTATAGTTAGGGATTTCAAATTTCCAAATATATATTATAAATTTGGCATTATAGATTATAGACGTAACCATACTTAGAGTAATATTTTCAAACATAGCCATAAGTATAACCAAACATAGTCTTAAATGTATTATAATCACAAAAATAGCAAACAAAAAAAAAATCCACTCCTGAAGTTTCATCATAAATATAACTCCAAATTTTAAAAATAAACACTTGAAAACAAAAAAAAAGGATAACATAACACAATACTCACATTGAATACGAAACCCTAAACATTAACAATTGAATTTATTAACTTTTCAAAAAACCAATAGAAGTAGGCTTGAATTGGTCACTTTCGATTTCGAAAAGCTCTATTTTGCAACCTGTTTAATCCGTAAAAAGTTTCTGGTGGAATACCATTCGATTATGTAAGAATTGAAAACCACAAATTTGGTTACGATCCTTAAGAAATTTCGTTGTTGAACCAAATTTTTTTTTTTTTAGGGCAAAATAAAGTTGTTTAGGCTCTTGGGGGGCAAAAAATGCCCCCCAAATACAATCTCCCCTCTTTCTAGGGGAAAATGACATTTTTGCCCTTTTGGCAAGACCCATTTTTGGGGGTTGCCAAAAGGGCCCTGGGCGGGCACCAGCGCCAAGCAGCGCTCGCTCAGGCGGGGCTCGCCTAGGGCCACTATCCTGCATTGGGCCGAATAGTTTTAGTGCGAGGTGGTGTGGCCTCCTAGACCGGTTGACGTTTTGAACACTGGGATCGAGGTTCCCAAAGTTCACTTATCTGCTGTATTGTAATTTGGGAGCGAATTCCATTGAACAATATGTTTAACTTTTTCTAAATTCACAAACCCAAGTATTATGTAAACAAGAATCATGCCATTGAAATTCTTTGACATTTTGTTATCATTGGAGTAAGATTTGAACATGAGTGTGATATTAAAATCCAATATGCTCTAGAAAATTACTCATGTGGGTCCATTACAAAACTTGTCTGCCTGCATTACTTTGCCTACGTATGCACATGTCCTCATTTTTGTCACCAAGCAGTCAGATCGGACGACTCCCACTTGAATATTGATCGGTTATATTAAAGAATGTTGCAATAGATTGTTTCCAAGAAAGAAATGCCGCGATAGCTAAGCTCTCTTTTATAACCCAAGAAAAAAGGGAAGACATTACCATATTTAATTTCTAATAGCTTTCCTATGTCGAAGATTGTTTGGGGCTCAGTAACATATACACAAGAGAGACCTCACATTTCCAAGCATACAGGTTAGTCTGTCACCTATAAGGCAACCCCATGACTGGCTCGATATGGTTGACCAACAATTAAGCGATAGAAGTGCTTTGGGAGGTCGACATGACCCAATGAAGTAGTCCTAAGGAAGTTAAGCATATTGATCACGACCTCATTCCCCTCAATAGAACCACAATGTGAATAACTTTTGTATCTCATTCCAACTTCTTCCTTCTCTATGCTTGCTCTCTCTTGTTGTGTTTCTTTGAAGCTAGACATGAGTCTCGATTTACAAGTTGTGTAAAGTTGTTAACTGTAAAATTTGTAAGAATCATGGTATTCAGAAAGTTTGTAGGTTATAAAAACTTGGAGATCCACACTCCATTGTCTGTGAACCAAACAATGTGCCTGTGAAACTCGCTACTAGAGTAGAGGATACTTGGAATTACTTACTCATGGAACCATATTTTTGCATAGGAGTTTGGATCCCATTAATATGGGATTGAGTTCACCAAATTCCCCAATCGAAATCCCAAATATCAAGGAATAACTAGGAGTCAAGATCTTGGGTCTAGGAGCGCGGGATCAAGCTCTTGGAGCAGGAGCGGCGCCCTCCTTGAAGATCTGGGTAACTATGGTGAAGGGTAGTGATAGTCGCAGGTCCTCCACCAGAATATCATGGGTCTGCTAAGTTCCAGAGAGCTAGTTTCCATACACTGTAACCTCTGGTTTCTATTTTCCTTCGACCATATTTAGTGACTAACAATTCAATTTAGCTATGTGGTCATCTTCTTTTGGTGGATCACTGTTTGCCGGGCTGATCTCACTTGTGGGTTATGGGTGGGCGAGGATGCTGTCACCTCTTGTAGTATACGAGCTTTAGTAGATTTGATTGTGGGAGGTATGGCATATTCCTCATTTTTGTATTGAGCGGCTTTAATCAGGGCGTTGTGTCTTGGCTTTCAGGTGAAGACCAACAGCTTCCGATTAGGTCTCAGCAAACTGTCCCTGACTCTCAAGGTTGTGACTCACATACTCAGCATTTGGGGCGATAATATATGGAACCTTTCCTCTGTGCTTGCCCTCGTTACTGGATGGTATGACCGCCAGAGTCCCATATGAATCTCCTTGGTAGAGAGTGTTCTATGTGGGAACCACAAGGCACATTTAACCTTGATTGGCTGGAGGTACATGGGGTTCCTCAGGCTAGGCGAGGGTTGCCACTTCAGGGAGGATGGGTCCCTCAGCCAAGGATTAGGAAAGGGAAGGGGGTCATTGAGGATGATGGTGCTCGTAAAGAGGCGATGCTACTGGAATGGTGCCTCTACCTCTCAGCACAAGAGGAATGATTCACCATCCGGAGAGGAACTGATGGATGAGATGAGTGCAAGTGGGAAGTAGATGCTGATAGGGCTACGGGCTACCTCCTCGAAGGAGAGTCTAATGAGTGATGACAAAGCGACTGGATTGCCACCCACCTGCAGGCTCGCCTCAAGCAGAGCTGCAAGGCCATCAAAGTTTTCGGATCCAGGCTTGAACAGTGTAGATATAGTAAAGGAAGTAGATCTAGGGTTTGTGGGTGTAAGGAAATAATCTAGGGCTGGGATTGGAAGATCCTAGGGCTTGGGGTAGTTTCATCTTGAATGTTCTATTGGTCTTTGAGGGTAGTATCAGAAATATAGCTAAGGAGGCTAGGTTTCTCTCATGGTTTTTGTCTTCTGGTCTCTTAAAAATTGATCTTCTGAATCTGAAGTGTGAGGGGGTATTAATTGTGGAGGTTTAGGGTTTCAGGGAATTCAATAGTAATAATTGTGGTTTAGGGTTTCAGGGATTAATTCAACAGTAAATCATTGATATTGGGCCGAAAATCACATGAAGACTAACTAGATAAGCACAATTAGCTTCTGCCATATCCTGAGGCTACATGTCACCAGTTATGGCGCATGTGTCACATGTTGCAGCACTTTTTGCACATTGTGCTGCATTGATTTTATGGTAACGACAAAATGGTCCCTATTCTGGCAAGGTTCAGTGTTTTGACTTCCAAACAATATATTGGATTGAGTTGAAACTTGAACAGTTGGAAAGATGTTTCGATTCCCTATGGGATGGGATGGTGTTCATCATTCTGAGCTTCAAAGGATATTTGGCAGTCCTCCAAATCTAGTTCTAGTGAGCTGCCATGTTACATGCAACCGATTATGCATATACTTACCTACCAACTTGTGTACACCATTCATGAGTTCGAACGTTTCATCATTTTCTCTTTGCCGCATTAATTTCTTATTGCATGGAATGCCCTCTAGAACCTCATTATTTATTACATATTATTAAACTTCTACCATTTTTTGTGCAAGGCATGCATTAGGTGCTTATATAGACATCTTACCCATGGGGTTATGATATACTTCTTGCTTTTGAGTTTTGTGACTTTCAATGCATTTTCTATTTTATTTTTGGATGAGGTTTGCATAGAGCCGAGGTTCTAAACAGTCAAAAGTAAAGCTTAGCTTCAAATAGTTTGAAGAAATGCGGTTTCAATACTCAAAATCTTTGTAATAGCCTTAAAATATATTTCATATTAAATTATAAAATTTAAAGCTTCAAAAATAGTTTATATCGAACAGATCTATGAAAACTTGAAAATTGACTGTCCAAAAATGCGTTACCAGATGCACTATTTCTAAAGCTTGAAATCCATTTTTTTTATCATGTCCATACATCTTGATGTCGAGATGATCACTTTGAAGATATTTGGGCATCAAAACAATTTCCTCTAGTGAAAGTTTTCAGGTGGGCTCTAATTTGATTGTTTAGAGCCTCGACTCTATATAAAATTTTTCCTTTATTTTTTCACTAGCACAAATGTTGTTTAATTCATTATCATATTTTCTTATTGCTAGGTGGTCCGAGATCCACGATTTGAATCCCTTTGTGGGACCCTCGATGAAAATGGGTGAGTTGATTATTAGTGCTACTCCTCTTTTCCCAGTTTTCATAGGGATTCAATTATTGTCATTGTTGTTGTTGTTGTTTTTAAAGTATTCTTTATGGTAGATTTAATAATTGTCTATGGATCTTGGCTTAGGTAAATAAAAACTTAAGAATTGTTTGTTGTGTATTGATGTTGTTTTCTGATTTTTTGAAGATTCATTGATAGGACTAGAGATGCCGTCAACACAAAGTTAGAATTTTCAAGGGATGCTCTAGAATCAAAAGGTTTTAAAATTAGTCGGACTAAGACAAAATATAATAGAATATAAATTTAGTAATAATGGGAGTAGAAATGAGAGATTAGTTAAGATTGATTGTCAAAAAGTATTTAAAAGATATTATTTCCGATATCTTGGGTCGTTAATCCATGAGGATGGAGAGATTGAGGAAGAGGTCATGCATAGAAATAGAGCTTATTGTACGAAGCGGAGATATGCTTTCGAAGTCTTATGTAATCATCACATATTGATGAAACTGAAAGGGAAGTTCTATAGGATGACTGTAAGACCATCCATGGTTTATGTGACAGATTTTTTGGTGGTCAAGAAGCAACATATTCATAAAATGAGTGTAGCTGAGATGAGGATATTGAGATGGATGAGTGGCAAAGCAAGATTGGATAGAATTTGGAATGAATACATCAGAGGGAACTAAAGGGTGGTTTCAATAGGTGATAAAATGAGGGAAAGTAGACTTCGATAGTCTAGCCATGTACAATGTCACCTTAGAATAACACCAATTAGGAGGGGCGATATGGTTCAAGTAGAAGGCTCTAAAAGGGCAAGGGAATGCCCAAATAAACATGGATGGAAGTAGTGAGAAGAGATATGGTGACATATGGTCTGATTGAGGGTATGACCCTTGATAAAGCAGAATGGCGGAACAGATTTCTGTAGCCAACCCCAGATAGTTGCGATAAGACTTGGATAATGATGATGAACGGCATTTTGTTGTAAAAAATTTCGGAGTCGACAATTCTAATTCACCATCAATGTTTGTCAGATTCGCTTCAGAGTCTTCTTCAGTTTGGTGAGAAAAATGAAGCAATTTGGTGCTTCGGCTGATTCCGGGGAAGGCTTCAGACTTTTTTTTTAATTTAATATAAATAAAATAGATATTTATATATACAATATATAAAAATAATGGAAAGAATGAAAAATAGAAAAAACTAAAAAAAATTTAAAAATATTTTTATATAGGTGTTTCTTTTCTGACCGAAGCAGGTCTAAGCAGCCCGAATTTGACTGAAGCAGCAACACCATGCTTCTCTTCACTTCCGTTTATGCTTAGAAACCGAAGGCTTTTGTCTCTTTGGCTAAAGCGAAGCAAATTTGATAACGTTGATATGCATGTGTATTGAGAGAGAGAGAGAGAGAGAGAGAGAGAGAGAGAGAGAGAGAGAGAGAGAGGAGGAGGG